ATTAATATTTTAAAATACCTGATTTCCTGGATCGTAAAAGTGAAATGTATCATTTGTTTAAACTATCCTACTCATTATTTCTTTCCTCATTTCATAAAACTCAACCACTAACAAGAATCTGCATAAATAGAGCTTGAACTTTCATCTCAGGAAGTTTAATCAGAAAGCTCTTCAGGAATATTTTATACCTTTTATCAGAATATTGATGGAAGTCATAATTCACCTTAATGTGAGAAAATTTCCTCTCTTCACTAAAGAAATTAATCAAGACATTTCTTGTTGGTGAGACATGACATAAATCCACTTGCTTTTACCTATTTGATCTCAGCATTTCATGAATTTTTGACTGCCTGCTCTTAATTTTCCACAAGCAAATTCTATTAAAGAAACTAAAACCCAGTAGTTCAACCCTGATTGCCCCATCAGCAAATGGCTCTTGTATTGCACAGTGGATGACACATGCCACACTCTCGTGGTGCTGCTAGAGCCCTTGTAAAACCAGATCAGGAAAAACCTTTCCCCCTTTATTAGTGCCTATTTATTGACCACCTAAGCCAATCCAGCAAGCACTTCCCTTGCTCAGGCAATAGTCCAAAGGCTATTGAGAATGAAAAAATATCCTTGGGAAAAAAAAGTCAAAGTCATTGCGTGCATGTCAAACCTTTCCACCTGCGCAAGGGCAAGCAAGGTCCCTTCTCCATGGGAGAATGACACACAAGGGAGCTAGAGAAACAACTCGGCACCACCCCGGGCCAGGGTGGAGCTGAGAGATCGTGATTTCCCTATTTTGCTTCCGGGATCACCTTGCGACAAATGCAGCTGCACTTTTACATTGCCACACAGCAGGGACTGGATGGTAGGGTGTCTCTTTCAGGACACAAATCACCTCTGTTAACTGGCACTGTAGCCTCTGTTATTGAATGCTGGGCATCAGCAGTGGATAGGTTTCAAAAACACTGATATTATCATGACAGTATCATTTGCTGTGATGCATCCACAAACTTTGCTGTGACCAAACCATCTCCTGGGGCAACTTGCTGCAGTAACTGTCAACGTGACAGAGACAGACTCACCAGAAGTCCTTAAATAAATTAGTATCCAATTAGTTACCCAACATCTGTTTAGGTAACGCCCCAAAATAAACCCACTGTTTAAAGAACTTCAAGGATTTCAAATTCATATTAATTCCCTTTGAATTTAAAATGATTTTCATAAGCTGCCCTTATTATCATCAGTGAAAAACATAATTTTAAAAAATATTTCTATTTTTAAGAAGTTTTTCTTACTTCTGTGACAGAGGATGTGCACCACAGTAGAGCAAGCAAAGGATGACTAGTCATCTTAAGTGCTTGAAGTATTTGAGTGGGGCAAAGCTGTAGAAGACACATGTGCAAACCATTATTTCATGACCTCAAACATCACTTACCCAACTCAAAAGGTTTCAGTCCTGGTATGACTTCACAAGCAAAAGGCTCATGTGATTTTCTCCTCTAAGGTAACCTCATGAGGAGCATTTTCAGAGAACAGCTACATGGGCAATTCAGCGGAGCACTGATTTAACACTTACAGTCCAGCCCAAGGGAGCTGCAGGTCATTAGGCCTAAATACCGAATAAACGTCGCACATCTGTGGGACAAGTATTGTCATTGCACAGCTAAACCTACAAGCATTTTAAAATGTGCTGATTGCAAAACAACCTGTTTTACTGACTGTCTTGGTTTACTTTTGTTTTCCGGCTAATGCACCAAATTATGTCTTTGTTTTGATTTGCTAATTTAAATAAACTAATTTTTCTGTTGTGAGACAGAACCAGGAGCAAAAGAGCAAGGCAGGCCTAAAACTTAAGAGACTATAAAAAAAGAAAATTATTAACTACACAAACAAAGATTGGGGAAAAAAACAAATTCAGAATAAGATTTTTTCAGACCACTCCTTCCTTCCCTCTCCTAACTTATAACAACAAAACAAACATACAACAACTACTTCAGTCAGTTCCTAACTTAGTCTTTTTCAGTTCACTTCCGGAGAGAGAAGCCTCCTCTTGTTGAAGCTGTAGGGATTTTTTCTACAAGAAGGAAGAAAACAGTCTTTTCGTGGTTTCATTTTTCACCATTTGCATCCGCCCGGGAACCTGCAATCGTGACACTCCTCCCAACTCCACAGCCTTCCCAGAGCTGTGCTTGCGGGCCATGTCTGTCTCATGGGGTATTACTTTTAAGAATGAAATGTTCCACAGCAAAGGTTCTCTTCATTTCTTTTCTCTCTGTTCATGCTTCATCCTCAAAAAACTGAAATCCCCTTCTTTCCTCAGGGCAAAGATTCCCAACACAAGTGCTTTTTGGTCAAATCATCCATCAAATGGAACATTTCCAACCTCCCATGTCTTTCTTCATGGTTTATAAGAATATTCAGTACATCAGTTCATCCTTACAATTTTACAAAAATATTTTCAGCCATCTTGACAGCATTTCCTCATTCTTCTTCCATCTAAAAAACTTAACTCGTGCTTCACTGACTTCAGAAATCTTCTTATTCCCTTTCATATTCAAAACAAGGCCGGAGGTTTTGCAAATCTTATCTAAGCACTAAAGAGTTAAAGTTTAACACAACTGCAAGAGTTGGGCCAGGCTCAGGCCGTGCTGGGTGGGGGGGGCAGCTGAGGTGTCAATCAGCCTTTCTGGGGCTGGGCTGCAGCCCCAGACCGCTCATGGCCATCCCTGCTTCCAGACAGGGCCCGGCTGCCTCCCCAAGGCCGCATGGGAGCTGGGCAGGTCTGGCCTTTCTGACAGCAGCGGGAACCGGGGCCCCCACCCCAGAGCCGTAGGCCCATGGAGGAGGAAGCCGTGGAGGTCTTACAAGGAGCCTTTCCTCCTCCTGGCCATTGGGTCCCTTAGTTGCAAGCGGGGCCCAAGCGGCCTCCCGAGCCTCCCCCCTGCATGGAGGGGGAAAACTGCACTGCTGCCGGAAAGGCACAGACTCAGTTCCAGATTACCTCCTTCAAAATGTGTGTTCACAGAGCGAACCAACTTTCTCCCATTGGTTGTTGAAGTTGTCCCAACCCCCACAGAAGAAGCTCCCTTAGAGAGAACTTCTCTCTGAGTTTCTTCTTCCCAAATCAACCCATCACACTGAGCTAAACCAGACCTTTGCCTTCTGTGAGCTTTTTAGGGAAAGCTGTCAATCATGCCATCAGCTGTGGGCATTCCTCCTCCAGAAGTCAAGTGGGTTTATTGCAAGGAACAGCTTAAAACCTGTAAAGATTAATAAATATCTCTCCTTAGAGACAGCCTATCCTATCGAAAGGTCAATTGGAAGGAAGCAGGGCAAGGCAATGCAAGATTATTCCTCAAACATATAGTCTTAAAGAAGACACTGCTAGTCATTCAGAAAGCTGAAAGAACGCATTTACATTGAGTTTATTCCACGAGTTGAACTGTGCTTCAAGAGCTTTGGAAGACAGCCAACATGGATGAAGTTCATATATATGAACTCCAGAAAATAAGAGAATATGCCTTATGTCTAGTAATTTAGACTGATGTTAATTTTCTATATTTTTTCCACAGTATTGTAGCTATTACAGTGAGGGAAGTAGCTGAAAATGCAACATTCGTCCTTATGGCCTAATTCACTGGGTGTGTTGAAGAGAAAATGAAACTTCTCATGTGGGGTATCACTGTACTTCTGCACAGTCAGGTTGTTCACTGTGGGTTCTGTGTAAGGCCTGTGGTACCAAGTTGAAAGGAACATTAGCTTCTGCCGAGGGTGAATGCACTATTTTCTACTGTCATAATCACTACACTTCATAAACAGTAACTTTTTTAAGGACAAAGTTGCTGAACTTCTTGGGTTCAGTAGTTTTAGCAAAAAATTAGCCATCTTCTCAAATTTCAGTATTTAAACATCCAAAAGAAGGTTTGAAAAGTAACCTTTCCTTTTAGATCTTGACCACAGCAGTGTTACACTTCAAAGGTATGTCCAGGTATGTTCAGAATTATAGACTAAACAACTTAAGCTAAACAAATCATGTTAAAGAACATATTAGTTCCCATAGCTTAAAATATTCAATTTAAGCCTTGCTATCTACCCTATACACCATTTAACAGATACATATAACGAACCTTCCAGTATGGGCAACAGACAGTTTTGAAATGGTTTCCAACTCCAAGCATAAGCAAGTCCTTTATCGTAAAAAAAGCACACAAAAAGCAGTGAAATAGTTGAGATAAGAAACACAGGCTTATTATTGTAATTTATTTTAAAAACCTTATTCAAAATATTAAGTGATACAAGTCCAAATACAATAAAAATTACTGCAAGAAAAGAGTTTTGGGATATTTTGTTTGTGCTTTACTTCCTGTGCTTATAAAAAGGATGCATATAACAGTAGAATATAGAACTTCTAGCATTTCATTCCTAAGACAGTATCATGCCTTCAGACTCCTCATGCCAATAGGCATGAAGCTGATTTGTTTCCAAAGGTTACATAACTACTTGAATACCAAGTCATTAATTAAGGGGTTCTGATTCACCATTATTTACAAATATATCAGTCTGAAAACTAAATCACAAACAGAATGTACAGAAAACTAAAATTTTATATTTTACAACTCATGAAAACATAAATAATGAAAGTACAAAATACAAATAAAAAAAAGAAAAAATAACAACAAAAAAAATCTACTGTAGCAGAAACTTGATTTACACTAATGCATAAATGTTTGTCAAAAATGAGAGTGCACTGTCCACAGACTGGTAGCCCCCACACCCTTATTTTCACCTGACTGTTACCTAGGTCAGAAAACCAACTAAATAAGTTATTCTTACAGTTTCTCCCATTTATAATATAACAAATCACATAGCCATTTCCCAACTGTCTTAAAATTCAACAGAAAGCTCTGATGTATTGAAATTCTGTCAGCTATCTATATTTTAGTAAGATTATTCAAAAAGACTTGTTTTCCACTCATTAATTACAGAAACAATTAAGTAGTCATAAATAGCATCTGAGAAAAAAAAAAAGGACAGTCAAGAAGCTGCATACCTTCACAAACACCTTAAACATTTTAGGAAATATACGGTATAAAACTTCTGAAATAAAATGGGTCATACATCATTATTTTTAAATTATTTATGGCATGAATACATACAGAAATTATTAAATTGCCATTCCAGCTATTTTGCCAAAATAGGATCAAATTATGCAACAAGAAAACAGAATCAGAAAACAACGAGATTAAAGACTTGCAGCATCAGAACTTAAGCACAGAAAAAAGTAATTATATTTTAAGTTTACAATATAGTGGAATTTGTGAGCCATGTAAGTGATTAGCAAAGAGATCATTAATTTGATTGAGTGATGCCAAAGTCATTAATTTATTAGACCTAAAATATTTTATGCACTTTTTTTTGTAGTATTACTATCAAGACTGCTCCAGACAGAAGGGAATGATGCTTAATGCATGATGCTTAATGCATGGTAAGAGCACTAATTTATTAAACTGTCTATCTTTACAGTTGATATAAAACCCAACCAAAGTAGCAAACAAATAGATCATGCCTTTGATGTTCCATGAGATTTAATCTCCAAAACATCCAGGTCAAAAAGAGTACATCTCGTTTCCGTACAAGCAGCTTATTTAGAATACCTGAATATTATTACACAACTGGGCAGGCAAAGAGCAATAAGTTTAGCAAACTCAAATCACAGTGCTTTCAAAACACGTAGTCATTGGTTATTTTCAGGGAAGGCATCGCTTCGTTAACATTTTGATCTAAACGATGATATTCCACTGTCCTGGAGCACAGGCCATCCCTCCACCTTCGGCTCTGCACCAGTAAGAAGATCTGAAGAAAAATGGGACAACTTATAGATGCTGTGCAGAAACATTCTGAATTTGAAAGACAGCTTCACAGTGGTACTGTGTACAGTGGTACTGACATCATTGGTTTTACCTCCCATGCTGGCAAGGGCATTACTATGGCAATCACTTTAATCACTTATCTGAACTGTGCTCTGATAAATTTTCAAAATGCAACAGTCTTCAACATCTTCCCCTATAAAGAACTGGCAATGCACATAACAAATAGGTAAATGCACAGTAAAGAAGGTTTTGGGTTTTTAGCTGCTTTGTTTTCAGAGTCCTGCAAATTCTCAGCTAAATCAGTGCTCTGAAGTAAACACTAAACTTTCCTCCTATCTAAAAAGTAATCTATGGTTTAATGTAAATTTGTGTATGCACCTCTATTGTGTCTGGTTGGGCTGAAGTTAATTTTTAATGCTAGCAATATAGAGTAACACCAGGCAGGCTATTTTTGAGACACAGAGAATTAATTTGTACTGAAGAAACATTTACCTGAAAATAGTAACTTAGTAGCTTCTCTGTGTAAAACTGGAAGCAGCATTAAACATCTCCTAAAACACTCTCAGAATGTCTACGACATAAAAACCGCATTAAAGTGACTATTAGAAGGATTATCACAATCATAACAAGAGCATTCCTAGACCATTTGAAATTAAACCTCCCTTAATTTGTTGTTTTCCTGTGCAGAAAAAAATTAGTTTCACCCTCACTTAACTTGGTTTAGGTCTCCCTTAGAGAACTCATGTTGTGCACTGCCAGTGTCCATTACTGTACTGATTGATTACTGATGTTCCCAATTAACTCATTTTCTTATCATAGATGTTAGATTCAAGTTCATTTTCATTGTGCAGATAAAAATGACACTAACGATCTGCATACTTGGTCACCACAAGACCAAGTGGTCAAAGATTTCATTCTTCAAAAAGCTAAGTTCCTCTTCTTAAAAACACGTACAAGGGAACACAACTTTATATTAAACACTCCAGATGTTTCTCTCAACCTTTCAGAGCACACCTACCTTCCTCTTATTGTGATAGGTGACATAAACAACAGCTACTAAGAAGGCAACTACAACCAGATGAAAAAAAAAGTGGCCATCTTCTTCTTCATCCAACCCTGAGACAGAAACAGCTTTTATCTTTTCATCAAGGGTCTTGATTTCCTCATTGTAATTACTGATGGTGTCAGAGCTGTCATCTTCTGACATCTCTAGAAGGTCTGGATTATATCTGGAATTCGGTGTCATTTCATAAGCATAGTCATCTCCATCTGACTCCATAGTTTCTTTTATGATGGGTGGGGAATTACTTAGTGTGTCTTTCAAATCTGTTAGAAGATCTTCTTCCTCAATTTTAGTATCTTCAGAAGCATCAACATCCACCTGTGATACCAGACTAGCAGGGACAACAGATGACAAAGAGTCACCATTGGGTATAAGTGGCTGTCCTGCCATCACTGAATTGATTTTGACTGTTGTTGGGAATGTCTCCTTTCTTGCTGAGGTTAAACTCTGCAAGCTGTCTGTCAAATTTTGGGATCTACTCAGTGTTTCATTCTCACTTGTAGAAGAAATATTTCTTGTAAGCATATCTGCTTTCACAGGACCTGAGAAAAGGATGAGAAACAATCAGCACTATGCACAAGGCACTTACTTCTCTGACAGAAAACTATTGCCACAACTTTCTTTCATAGACAAGAAATCATATGAAGAACACAGCATATGTCACACTGCAAACTTTTTAGTATTCATATGCAGAAATACACAGTCCTGCACTTTGGCAACTTCCAAAGAAATGTCCTGAGTGGGACAGAACTAAGGTTGGAAACACATGCCTTCTAGATTAGTGTGGCAAAGTGTCCCTGAAAAACTTAGCACACCTGTTTTCCAGGCATAAGAACTTCAAAGAGATGTCATCCTTCCCTCTGTGCATTCATGATGTCTTGCAGAATCACATACGATTGGCATTTTCTCCATTATCAAATTCTTCCTCCCACAGAATGAGCTGAGGTCTACAAAGGAGGATGTTCTCAGGAAAGCTTTTCCTGCAGTTAAGTTTTTCATCTTTCACCATTGCATGTTTTACAAACAAAAAATAAGATGCTGCAAAGTCTCCTACACAAGGTCCCAGCACCTCTTCCCAGGCACTAATTTTTATTAAATTTGTAGACACTGAAACAGATTTCCAACCTTATATTAACTCAAATGAAACTACTGAACCATAAAGAAACATTGCCCAGGCTCACGGAGGAAAGCCTTTTGTTGGCAGCAGTTACTGTAATGAAGTAAGAAAAAACATTGTAGCAATGTACCCTCAGGCAAATTCAGCGTCTCTCCAATGTTGGAAGGGCTTTGCAGAACTACATTAAAAACAAGGTGAAATCCAGATGCAGAGCCCACTATCCCTTTTCTGTATCTAAAGGATAGTAAAAAAAAAGATGCAGAGAGAGTTTAATAGCCAATTGTTTTAAACCTAAAAATTAGCAAATTATTCATGTTTGCAGCACATCACTACCAGATTCAAATCCAGAAGCACCTTAAAAAATGTAGAATAAATTTTAGACTTTCAGCATGCATTTTCATTTAAACTGGGAGACCATACTTGCCTTGTATTTTGGCATGCCAAACTAATTTTTCATTTTACAAAACCAACAATACTTCCATTAAACACTTTCAAGGCTCACTTCAAAGTTACAGACTCTAGAAATGAAGCATTCAACCAAGTGCTTCTATCAGGTTACTTGTAAGTAAAATATTATATAGGGGACATTGAATCATGTTATTCATGGAACTTGTATATTTGCTGAGATTCAATTACAACAGAGCTCTTGTTTACATGGCACACTTTTGTAGTATTAATTATTCTTTAACCAACTGTAAAACACAGAAGACTCAGCTTATCTAACGTGAAGCAGACACCACAGTGCCTCTCTGCTGAAGTTTAAAGTCAACCATTTCACATCTAACACACTTATTGTTGCTGATAAAACTACTTGTCTGAATTATCATATCAACATTAACTTGTTCAGTTCTTATCTAGGACAAGTTTAGGGAACTCTGATCTCTCCTCAGGTTTAAGCCAGCTAGTTGCATATGCAGAGATAAATAGGAGGAAAGGCAGTTGCAAGGTAATTTCATATTTATAGCTAGCTGGCATATTGTGAGGTCAGCTTCACTGCTACCCTCCCCAAAAAGACAAAAACTATTAGAGAGTAAGAGCTAAACTGTCTGAAATACAAAGAAGCATGTTTTGCCTATAAAACTGTATTGCATCTGGCCTCACACTTCAAATCATTCTTGAATTCATTTTAACACAGAAGTTTTTGAAGGATATATGCTTAAATGCAAGGGACTCCTAGCGGCTATTGCTGCACCTTCAGACTGAGGAAAAGCAATTTCCTATTATTCCTTAAATATACTTGGGTTTTTTTGTTTTAATAGCAGCTGGAAATTTAGCAGCTAAACCACAACTGATTTATGATATTTACCCCAAACTACTTGGCATTATAAACGGTGGTTGCACTGTTTACAATTACACAACACTGTCAGATGATTTTAGATCCAGAGATGCCTCAGCTTCAGAAACAGATACTGATGTTCAGTCATGGTGACAGAATTAGCAGGACAAACACCGCACGTAAAAAACACATCATGGCTAAAACTCACTTCCAGGAAAACTGCTTCTAGAAAACAAGTTGTTTCGTGACTCCTAAAGTTAAAAACTCCGTTTCCTACAGGTTTCTGTCCAAAATTCTCACCGCCTACCCATCAGACCAGGTGAGGGGTAACACAAATAGAGCTGGTGTTGAGGTACTGACTGACAAGCACTGTTTGATGGATGGAACAGTTCCTTTTTTGTTCCTTCACTAACTCCTTTCTCTTCACTGCCCAGCCTGTACTCCATCCAAAACAGAGAAACTCACTGCCCCGAAGCATGCATTTCTCATTAGCCTTTAGTTACAGCCCTCTGCAGTTTTAAAGGGGAGAAAGAAAGCACTTATCTAGGAGTCAACTTGAAGAATAACATAAGCTTAATTTCCAGGGGAGGGGAGACTAAAACCAGGCACGCAGAGTATAAAAATCCCAAGTCTGATGAATGAAGTAACCAGCTAAACTGCTCTTCACAGCAACAAAAGCGGTGCACACTCGGCAGGCGGCCTCCCTCCCCCCGCCCCGACACTGCCCTTCCCCTGCGCACAGCCCAGCGCTCGCTGCCTCTAACGCACCCCCAAACAGATGAGAGGCCAAGGCCAGGCCCAGGGCCAGGCCCGGTCACCTCAAGGCACGACCCGCGCCGGCCGAGGCTGTACAGCGTTAGAGGCCCAACCGAAGACACTGGTGAGGCAGACCGGCGGGGCGGCCGCGCAGCGCCCATAGCCCACAGCCAGCCCCCCCTCCCGGCCCCGCTGCGCTCACCGGGGGAATCCTGCCCGCGAGCCGCCAGGGCCCAGCCGCAGAGCAGCAGCAAGCACAGGGCGAGGCGCACCGACCCCCGCCACTCGCCACCGGCCGCCGCCATCTTGGCCCCCTCCACGGACGTGGCGATGCCACCGCCCCTCGTGAGGCGGCCGCGCACGCGCACGCGCACGGGCGGGAAGGCGCAGGACGCGCAGGAGCTAAGGGGAGCGTGGCGGTGTCACAGAATAGGGGACTTGTGGAACGGTAGTCATGGGATCGTGGGGTCAGTGACTTGTGGAATCATACAGTCATGGAATCCTCAAGGTTGGGAGAGACCTTTTAGTCCGTCCAGTCCAACCCTCCACCAGCACCGCCACTGTAACCCCTAAACCGCATCACCCAGCGCCAGATTCGGGCGCCTCTTAAACCCCTCCAGGAATGGTGACTCCACCACCTCCCTGAGCAGCCGGTACAGTGCCTGACCACCCCGACAGTGAAAAGGTTTTTTAGTATCCGATCTGACTCCTCCAATCTCAGCTTTCGGCCAGTTCTGGTCCTCTCACTGCAGGCATCTGCCATGCTCCTGGGAGCTGACTTCACACAGTTCTTTTGGATCGGTGATGTCTGGAGGGGTCCACTTCTCCCAGAAGCGTGAGATAGGAAATACGCAGGAATGGCTCCTGGTAAGAGGGACTGCCCAATTTGTGGGCTGTCGCTGAGGTGGCTCTGCAGCCTGCACCGCAGCTCTTGCCATCTGCAGCCACCCACGGCAATGGCCGACGCGTGAAAAAATAAAAATACTAATGAACAGCCACTAAAGTTGATCCAAACTCATAAATGTTCATTGCCCACACTTACTTGTTTATAAAGAGGTAATTCACTTACTGAATTCTGTAATAGAAGAAAAATAAGTCATGTTGTCTTGTTTTATCCATGAGAAAAACAATGAGTAATGTGCAGTTATCAGAACTTCACACTATGAACAGTGCCATGTCTGGAATTTAATTCTACTAAGTATTTTTGGTTTGTGTGGTACAAAGCACGTACCAAGATGTTGCCAGTCTTCTGCTGGAGCCACAAATGTAGATGAAATTGTTTTCACAATAATACAGAGTAAAAGATGACATTTCAATATTTTATTCAAGTCAGGTTTGGGGTTTTTATCCATTTTTAGTAGTGTCAAGTACAGCATTTTAGGGTCTAGTTCCACACAAAATGGAAGACTCTCTAAAAATGTACCCATTTACTTGCTAAAAAAAAGTAATAAAAGAAAACTCTGGTTTAGAATTAGTGATGCAACTATACGATTGCAGTTGCAAAGACTCTTCCCTGATTATGTCCATTTTAAAAGCTTTTCCATCAGTGCAAGGGGAAGGAATCACAACACAGGACAGGCAGTATTGGCTGAGTCACATCAAACTTCCTCCACAAGGACTTCAACAAGGTGGACAACCTAAAGCATTCTGGAGACAGCAGTAGGTGTGGGATAACCAAGTAAGACAAACCATTGATAAAACACATATCTAAAAGAATAAATTTTAAAATCCTTTTTTCAGACAAAACATTCCTTCATTGACTGAAACCTTAGGTATTAGAACATTTTGCATACACAATGAACAGTACAATACAGTGGTCTGCAATTTCTACATTTTATAACACATTAACACATTCCCTGTGCCATCAATGTATTAGTAGAGGTAATCAACACTTTCCTTCTTATCACGTGGCAGTTGACAGATGTGATGAGCAACTACATAAAGAAAAAAACTAGGATTTTTTATTTATGATTTTGTCTCCACTTCTTTAACAACATAATTTTTAAAGCTTAGCTGTCTTTAGCCAGGACTAGCAGGACAGATAGTAGCAACACTTGCACCCCAGACAAAACATTGAAAGGTACACTATTTTCTGAAGGTAGCTATGCTGTATTTCCAGATTAGCAATTGTGAAATCATTCCTTATGCTTCAAATTCTAATCCTAGACCAAGTTTGTGACCCCCTGCATTGACATTCTTGCCATCCAACAAAGCTGACAACGTCAGTTTGATACCTGCAAAATAGAGAAAAGGGAGAGAAAAGTCAACTTAAAACTTGGGATGAGCTTTATGTTCAGGAAGTGCCATGTGTGTTACTGCTTTAATTTATTGGGTAGCCAAGTTAATGGAATTTGGCAGCTGGCCTTGGAAGGACTGGGCATTTTAAAACAATTTGCAGATAAGAAATCTTTCTGAATTAGGACATTTATAATAAACCATGATGACAGATTCCACATTTTATCGCTCTGAGTAATTAAAGCTCTGAGCCAATTCACTGCTGGTGGTGTACTGATTGATCTAATTTTAGAGTAAAGAATTACAAAAACCTAGGACCTTGATACATACCTTTCTAAATCACTTTAAAATCTGGGTATAAAAAAGCCTAAGCCCCATCTGCTGTAATATCTCATATCAATCTGCTCAGTATTCTAGCAGCAGATTTATTACACTACATTAAAACCAAATTTGCAGCAGTAAGATTGTCCTCTTCTAGCGCCAGGGGACCTTGAGAAAGTCACATTTTTAAGAAGAATAAACTCAGCAATAGGAAGCCTCTGAAATATTAAAAATTTAGTTACTTATCTGTGACACAAATAATCATAGACATATTTAATATCAACATGAAAAACTATTTGACTGGCCAGTGGACAATGGTCTCTAATAATTCTGCTTCCAACAGATATCCAAAATTAACAGAACAGTCTCTAGAAAAGTTCATCACTGGCTCGCCAAACCAGAAGAGCAATCTTACAGAAGAGCAATCTTACAAAATCCATCATACTCTATCACCAAAAAACTTCTAATATTTCAAGATTAAAGTATCACTTTATTGATTCTTTTTTCTGCATAGACTTACCTGGTTTTAAAGTCTGAGTGTATCCTAACCCAATCAGACTGGAGTTGTTCACTTTAGCCTTAAAGGGAAACAATAAAGCATTATTTAGTAATAAATAATAAATTTAGTAAATAATTTAGTATCTTTCTTCAAAGTCCTCCATACCTGAGAATTGTGCAACAGCTTTTAAGCATGAAAGGATTTCAAGTTTTAAATCCCAAATAAATGGAGTTAATTTTTCTATAACTTAAATCTCAAAGAATCTACAGTCACTGTAGAAAAGAATGATTTTATTAACATAATTCTTAATTTTTTCCAGACTGACACAAAAACTGTCTCAAAATAGTGCCCAGTAATACAATAAAACATTCTGTTTCTCTTTTGGAAAGTCCAAAACTGCTGCACAGCTGCGGTTTTTGCAGCTGTGCTCTCAGGCTGCAAAAACTAAAACAAACAGATCCATGTGCCAACTACACAGCACAGAACTGCATCAAGACCGTGCTCTGCTAATGGAAAGACTGCTTTCCATTTTCGTTACAAGCACATATTTTCAAATGCATATAAATGTACATGCACAGGACTCACAGAAAAAGAGGCATCTGGGTCAATCTGATACTTGGCTGCTATTCCAAAGCGAGTGTTGCTATTTCCAGCTGTCCAAGCAAGATTCACAGCAGTTTCCAGTTTATCATTCACCTTCTGGTAAATGGAGCCACCAAATTCTGTTCCATCATTCCTGGAAGGAATGCATTGGTGTAGTTTTAAACACTACCCCGAAACAAGCGTCTTTCATTTTTACAGTAAGGGCTTTATTTGCAAAACATCCACTTACACTTCATTAAATATCCCTGCAACAACTAAGATAGAGATATTAGGCCAGACTGGTTATGAAGTTATTTTTAGATAACTTCAATTCATTGCAGATTATTATATTTCAACAACTTCTGAAACTGAAAAAACCTCATGACAAACTACCAAAAATTAGACCAACAATGACAGCTTCCAATTTTCCCTTTCCTGTAGATGAGAGTCTTTGTAGTAGAGAGATATATTTTTCCCTGCATGTCTCTGAAATAATTACTTTCCCTGGCAAATGTCTCCTTGTGCCCTGATAGGGTTGTATCCCAGTCACAGAGCCCAAGTCATCCCAAAACTGCCATGTCAGCATGCTTTTACCAGACACAGAGAAACTGTATCACAAGTGAAGATGCCAATTTAATGTGCAAGTCTATAGGCTTTTGCAAATGAATTCCATTTGCAACAGTCCTTATGGTACATCTGTGCTATGGTCTGTGGAGTAGAAACATAAATGGAACTAATTTTGCTTTGCAGAGAGAAATGAAACTGATTTTGCTTTTGGCCCATAGCTGAATGATGAGTAGCACAACTTCCAATTACTACTGCCCCTTAAGTCACATAGGAATAAATTGCGGCAAATAAAAGGCAAAATGTTAAGAGCATGCAGATCATAAAAACAAGACCAAAAGACTCCTAAAGGCCTTGCGCTCCTCATAAACCAGTGAGCATTTCCAGAATTTCCATTTTTGCTTATTTTCTTAAAGAGAGGATACAAACATTGTGTAGAAAACAGGCTTTAATCATAGGAAGATCTGGGCTTTTTTTTCTAAACTGTGAAATAATCTGGTTCCAATTATTAGAGTACACCAAACCTTTAGTGATTACAAAAAGGGGTAGATTTTTTTCATTTTACCCCTTTGGTCCGATATTCTTTAGTTCATAACAGTTGCACAAACAGCGGTAATAGGCATATGCCTATTTAAAAGTTCAAGCAATAGCAACAGCCTTTTAAATTGTTAGAGCAATTCTTCCAGAAAAACACTACAATACTTACTTCAGATTAAGACTGAAGCTCACATTAACTGCATGTGCTTGGCTCTCAAGAAAAGGAGGGTTTAAAAAGGACTGAGGAGAGCTGGTTATACAGGCAGATTTTGTGCAAGGTTCCCACACAGCTCTGTCTTGACCTGCAACATTAGGGGGGGGCGGTCTGAGCTATGCTTAAAAAATGAGGAAAGTCATATTTAAAACTAGAAATTATCCAGCCCTACCTCCCTTGTTTTTATTATTAAATAATAATAATAGTAATAATAATAATAAAATCAACCTCTTTTTAACTCTAATAACAATAGAACTTCTTTATGCAGATAAAAGCACATTTTGTAGATTAAAAAAAAAACAAAACGAAAAAACCACTAGCCCACTATGAAAATTAATATATTAAGGCACCCTTAAGGGAAGTAACTTGCTAGAGCCTGCAACTGGTTTGTGTAATGCCAGGAAAAAACATACTTTAAGCCCTACCTAATTACATTATCTGCTTTGCCACAGCATCCCAGTGAAACACTGACCTGTGTAGATGTGAAGCAGCCTAGTGAGGGGAGTTCCACACATAACTCTTTCTGGGATTATATAAAAGCTCTGACACGTTTTCAAAGCTGAAATACATCAATCACCTAACTAATCTATTATTAACAGTAGTTATTGTTAATAATATGAAGATTTCTATTCATATCATACATCTGTGGTTTTGTACAATAACAGCAACCCAGGAAACAGACCCTCGAGAATACAAGAAACAGATCCGAGCCTCTGCTGCTATTTAATTTTTGCTGTTGCTTTAATTAAGAGTAATAATAACCATTGCGTTTTATAGTGAAAGCCAATAACACAATGTTTTGAACTGCTACAGCACAACTAAGTTGAAAGTCATTGCATTTAAAGGAGTAACTTCTAACTCCTGAGTGGAAGGGGACCCCACATGTTGTTTTGATGGAAGTTTTCTGCCCACATTTTTGTGCTTTGGCAATCCTTCAAACATACTGTCTGGGCTGCGGGGGTTCGACTGCTCTGTAAGGCAGCAGGAGCTTCCTAAACCGGATCGCTGTAAAACAGCATGTAACAGAACAGAAGGCCTTTATAGAAGTAGCTCTAGAAGGCAGAATGGTTGTTCAGCCCCCTGCTAGAAACAGCCTGGAATAGCTCTGCTACATGCCAAATATCGAATTACCCAAGGCCACGGAAAGGGGGGACCAGGAGAACAGATTAGGGATTGCCTAATCTTAAAAAACTGTCTTCCCCAAAGACATAAATTGCCTTTTTAGGAGGAACAGGAGACAGAGAAATTAAGGTTTTCATGGAATTTGATCCTGGTTTTCCACTGTTGATACATTCAGAAAGGACAAATACTTGTGCAAATAGAAGTTGCAATGCCAAATAAACTTTTACACCATATCCCTTCCAGAACTAAAACAAACACAGTCTCTGTCTCTTCCTGTCACTCCATTTCACCTGTTCTTGTTCATCCTCTAATTAACCCTTTCATCTACACATCAAACTACCATTTTGTTTGATGTTGACAGGTGTAAAAGGAAAACACTGCTTTTATTTCAGCTTTCACAAAGACTATTTTTATAACTTGCTTTTTTTATTATATCACTAATGGATTCTAATAGTCCTTATTTGCTAGACAGACACTGAACCCTTGGGTGCTCATTGAGTTCCTCACCCACACAATTCAAAGAAAAGGTAATGCAGCTGAAAAAATACAGTTTGACATCTTTAATGAAGAATTAATTCCAAATTCACCATTCCCTTGTTCACCATTGGTGAACCTCTGATCCTTTCACTTATTTAGTAAGCAGCAAAATCCTTCCAAATTCCTTTTAGTGCCTGCCTGCCAGTACTTACACATTAGTATGAAGCTGGAATTCATCAGTCTTATAGCCAACAGCAAAGTTGCTCTGGGTTACTCTAGACTTCGCTGTCTCAAAAGTCATTTGGTAGCCTGCCAGCCACCCCTCATAGCCAAGCACGAGAGCTCCACGTATTGAAGGACCCGCAATATCAAAATCCATGTCGCAGCCAATGTTGATGTGTTCCCTTTTGTACCCCGACTTAATTTTAGCACTTTTTTTCCTAAAGAGAAAAGAAAGATGTCATATCTTTGGAAAGGTACACCTGTAGGTAGCAATTCCATCATATCACTTACTTTAACTCAGTGTAATAGTTCCTGAACACAATGTGAATATTCCTGGAGAGCCATATGATATGTCACTGCTTTAGTGTTCATCTTTACAAAATCCTAAGTCAGCTAGAGTGAATTCTTTGCAAATGAGCTATAAAATGTGGTGTGGTGCCTCACAAAGCACTTCTGGACTGTTTTCTGAAAAGCAGCTGCACATAGATGGGAAGTGGCAAACCATATCCTCATCTCCAACTGATACTATGGTTTTGGACATTAGGTACATACAGGGAAGGAATGGAAACTGTAGAAGTTTACAGGTTTGCCAACAGAAGTCCACAGTAGTGGACCTGCTTGCCTATCCCAAGCAAACGACTTTTGCCTGTCCCAGGCAAACAATTTTTAGACAATCCTAGTCAATTGCGTAATTTTATTTACTGTGACGGACATTAGGAAATCACTACTTTGCAGCTTCCGGGGGGGAAGTCTCTGCTGGCAAGCAGGCTGCTTCAGTGGCTCTAACATCCCCACCATCCTTACAGTACTTTGTGAACTTCAATGGTTACAGCCATTTACAGCCACCAGAAAGCTACCGCATTAAGGCAGAAATAAGTGTTCCTGAGTCACCTGTTTATTTTTATACTATTGGCCAGAACAGTATTTTCTCATGTGTCCTTAGATTGATTTACAACAAGGGTACAGACCCTCACAAGGCCAGAGTTATGTCTAGTATATTCAGCTACTCTTATTTAAGATTTTTTTCATCTCTTTTTACAAGTGTCTTCTGTCTTTGACCAAATCTTTACTGAAATCTTTCTGGAAAAGTCAGGCTAATTTGAAATTTCATATCAACCTCTCATGTCAGCTAACAAAAACAACCTCCAAGAACAGTATCAGTGCTGTATCAGACCCACACAGAGACTGATCTCTTTGTTTATTACTATTAGCTCAGTCCCAGGAATTTACTGTGTTTTGCAGAATCAGAAATAAAGTGCAGGAATGCCAAAAGCAATCATTTGCAACTTCTGTAAAAGTCAGCAGTACCTCTCCCACCAATGTCATAGAGACAGAGAGGCAAGAACACAGAGTGCTCCAAAAAATGACTTTACCTGCTGAAAGATTCATCACAGTCAGTAAGTAATAAGGAGGGGGAGAAGAAGTCTCATAATCAGACATAGTGCATCACTGTCAAACTAAGCCAGGTCACACCAGGATTGATTCTCACTCCATTTCCCCACATTTAACAGTCCTCTTGAGGCAATCGTAACAGTGTCTGTGGAGTGCCCAAGAAATAGCTCTGGACCTGTAACATCATTCTTGAACAAGGTTTTTCCTTTTAATTTCTCAACAAATCCTACCAGTTAAGAAATAATTCTAAAAATCCACTTGAGATTATTCTAATTAACAAAAATATCTCATTAATCTAGAATTAGGAGTGGACTGAAAACAATTGACAATGCAGAACACTAAATCTGAAAGACAGGGTGAAAGCTCCCCTAGGACTATTACTCTGAGAACCTGCAGTGCAGTCTGCTCATCTGGGAAGCTAACGTGCAGAGTATTTTGACTCACTGGCAGCATGTCTCGCACAAACATAATCGGGGAAAAAAATAAACCAACATCTAGACCTACAGCAGCTGCTTAATCCCTCTGGCCAACATAAAACATGGCATCCAATCACTGTGTCAGAAATACCCATCCACGACCAAAGCACACTGTAGCCTGCAAGAATTCGGATGATAAATTCAGCTCGGGACAAGAGCCCAGTTCTGTGTCAACCTATCAGAGCTGTGGCCAACTGGCTCCTGGAGCTTGTTAAGTTTTGCATTACAGCTGAATTATTTAGTGCTTTTATTAAGGCAGCAACTCATCCTCCGACATGGCCAGAAATACACAATGGAGCAAAGTCACAACTTTTTCTTCACTCTCTAATTCTAACTATAATTTTCAAGCTATTGCGTTTAAGTTTGCTTGCTAAAGTTAAGGATTAAAAAGGAATTATTAACACTAAAATTTAAGTGAGATGTACATGATTTCATCCTACACAGGCTGATTATTACTTGTCTCGATATCTCAGGACAAAAAAATTTAAAATGCGTTTTTTGTCACTTTAGCTTACTTCTTACCCAGTGTTAGGAGAGAAGGTGGAGTCAAAGGTCAGCTTCAGGCCCTGCGCAAGCTGAACAGAAAAGAAATTCAATGGTTGGATTTCTAATTAGAGATCAGCATACGTGAATTTGCAAATTGCTTTTTTGGAGCCAAAAACTACCTGATCTTCAAGAGTAATCTCAGTGCCTAGTGTGTTGTCAGTATTCCACTTTTCTGTGAACATCAGTCCATATTCTACCCACTTGTATTTTGTTTCCAAACTACCACTGACTTTGCTTGTTTCTGAGTTTGCGGAACCTGAGCTTGTAAATTCCTAAAAGAAAAAAAATAATTTATACATGTAATATATGCATTTGTCAATACCTACATATATGCAATCCAGCAAATGCTTATACTTGTAGAATATATCAGTAATTATAATTTGTTAAGTATTAGTTAATATAAATACAAATATATTTATTTTGAAAAGAAATACACGGTAATCACAAAACCATAGCAATGTTTTCAATTTCAATGTGCTTCCAAACTCACCAGTCCATTTTCAGATCTTGTTTTCAAATCAAGCTTTATTAACCCAAAACCTAGATAGTGAGTAAAAAATATGAATCATATATATGTTGATTTGAAAAGCATTTCTAAATTATTTCTTAAAACTCTCTTCTAAATCACCTGTGAACTACTAAATAGTTAAACCAAGGGCACAGTTATCAAACCATGTGTTTCTAAGAAGCAGCTTGTACTCACTTCAGATAGCACTTGACTGATGAATCCTATTGACCTCAGCAATACAACTGGGACCAAATTAGGTAATAACACTTTTATTCACAGTGAGCAGTATTCTGTTCATAAGCAAACTACTGCCATCAGTTATCCTGTTTATCAGCACAAGGGCACAGCCAAAATACAGCACAGAATTTTCTCTCAAAACCAGCAACAGTTCTATGGGGAACAGGAAGAATTTTATCAAAAGGAAAGTAAGTTACCCTCCCTTTCCAAACACCAAGGGCAATATGAATCTGCGATTCTGTGGATTCTAATGGAAATAATTGGAGTATTTCTCAGGGGAAAGTAATAAAATCCTAACAGTTTCAAGAATCAGGTAGACAGCAAAGGACCAAACTTATTTTGGTTTTATTTACCATATCCCTTGGTGAAAATATCTCTGGCAGATTTGCCCAGGTCAGCATAAGCAGGTGGAACAGCCATTTTCTGGAAAGGAAGATATAAGAAGTAGTAAAAGGAAACCAGTGTTCAGAAACTTACTTAATTCCTTTAAGCAACAAGAAACTTAAGCCCATTTCAGCCCCTTTCACTCTGTATCCCTCACCCACCACTTAAAAACAGCCTGAAGAAAACAACTATTGCAAATAGTGTGATTTCATTTTGCTAGGGAGCCAGCAATGTACTTGCCACTGAGAATGTGGAAGAGGCTGCAGAGAAATATATATTAAAATTAAAGGAACTTTCTATGCCTTTCTGAAGGGTTAACTGTTGTTTTCTTATCAATGTAACTACATGAATAATTTACGTTTTTTTCAAACCATTTCTTGGAAATATTTCTCCTGTTTCTCACAATGGATCTCTGCATTCTGATGCGAAGAATTAGGGCCCCAACTCATTCACTAAGGAAATGTAACCAGAACATGCATCTACCATTAGGAACTCTTTCTCTAATTCAGAACAGCAAATGGATAATATTTATGACAGCAAAATCAATAAATGGTCATTCTTATGCTTCAGTTTTCTTTGACTTTGCTATCGGTACTAACGGGTTAAGATGTCTCCTTAGACATTGACCTTTAAGTGTTTTTCTGTGCTCTTGAGAAAAAATGAGCTTGCTGAGAAAAATTCAGACTGCAGGGAGGCCATCCTGTGAAGTCAGGCCATTGGGAGGGCAGCCACAACCCTCCTTCAGCAGCAAAATGCAGACTGGAGCTCCCTGCAAGGCACAGCCCAGTGGTGGGGACACTGCAGGGGCAACTTTCTCCACTGTGTTTTGTTTCTTAGGGATGCCCCCACTGCCACAGAGGTCCTTACTTTCCCATCTTCAGCAGGCCCTGACATTCTTAGTTCCGTGGCCTCCTACAAAAGAGATAAATGCATCTCATTTTCTCAGCCACTGGGAAAACTGTCTCACCATATGCAGAGGAGAAAACAGGATCCTATATAGGAAAATAGGATCCTAGAGAAACAAACCAAGCGAATCTCCTTTCTTATCCAAGTACAAAAATTTCTACTCCTTTATTCAAATAAAGTCACTTCTTTAGGGGAGACAAAGTCAAGCGATCTGAAATGGTGCACATCTTCTGTCTTTGTAGACAAGATTTCCAAATTCACAGCAAAAGAGATAAATCGTACTTATAAAGCTAATCCTCTCAATACCAGATATTGCACTAAAATTCCATATTCACAAACTTTTTGGCTATTCAAAAGTACTAAGCAGTTTACTACATGTACATGCAAATGCTTAAAAAACTGCCTGACATTCTTACTCCATAGTATTCAATGTCAGCAAAAAACTGCCTGACATTCTTACTCCACAGTATTGAATGTCAGAAGAAAACTATTCCTTTAAATACCACACAAATCTGCTCTGGACACAAGGGTGCTTTAATATCTCTCTGGCTGCAGACTAGGATGCAGTTCTCAGGCAAGCTCACCACCCCATGAAGATCAGATAGGGACTTTCAGCAGTCACTCAGTGCCCCAAGCACCCTAGACAACAAGCTGGTGCCTGTTAAAGGATATTGCTATTGCATAAAGGAAGAATCCCTATCCTAGAGGGAACAAAACAGATCTGGTGGCTAAATAAAAGCAAACAATCTATTCAGAACATAAAGTAGGCTACAGGGACACGTACTGTGATGTAGCTTCAGTTGCAGAGTACTTGGGTGCATGTCATTTCTTTCCAGTTATAGTCCAGTATTAAAATGTATCCCAAAATACTCAACCAGTTAAAAAGTTATTTCTTTTTTAATTCATATTCCAAAGCAGTTTTAGCTGCTTATATTTGACCTAAATTTCTCTGCTTTGGGTTTGTTTTGGGAAAACATATAAACCAGGGTTTTAATGTTTATACACAAAATCAGCCTTAAAAAGGGGGAAGAAAAAGGGAAAAAACCCAAAAACGTAAGCAGAAAAAAACCCTAAGAAAGTATTACTATATTTGTGTAATTCCTCTCCTCCTCACTGAAGTAACTAGAAGCAGATACAATGCCCTGCCTGGAAATCACCAGCCAAAGTCAGGCAACACTCAGGAGAGGGATGGCAGGAGTCACTAAGAGCTGTCTGTGTACAGCAAATGCTTCTGCCTTGCCAGACCAGACCAGCCTCACAGAACCCTCTGATGGATACTGCCATTTAGCATAATCAAAAATTTAAAATATTAGAAATCTCCACATCTGAAAAATCAAAAAAGCATTGCTTTGAAAAATAATGCACCACTCTGCCACCTACATCTTGGAATATATTAGATCTATTTTATCAACAGTCTCTTTGAGTCACTTCATAAAATCAAAATATTTTCTCCATAAATGAATGCTGTATGCTTTTGGGTTGGACTTTCTCAGTCATATTTTATCCTTCTCCAGACCCAAAGAATACAGTTTCTGTTCCCAGATGCCTGTGTATCACGTCTGGCCACGGTCAGGCTCATCAGGTGCATGAGCTGTGCCAGGCTGCTCCACTGCTGCAGTCAGAGTCCAGAACAGTGGGAGACACGACAGCTCCACTTAGATAATTACTGTAATTAGGGGACAATACTGAAAGCCAAATACCTGCTGTTTTTAAGGCAAATCACGTAACACACACAGAGCATGGTGTTTAAAATTGCTAAGTGTGGAAAATGCTAGGAGCTATGTACCTGGTGGTTAACCTTGCTGTTGTCAGAAAGAACAAAACAAAAATAATTATTTTTGTTTTCACTGGTTAATAAGAAGCCTCTTGTTTAACAGATGGAAAATAAAACTGATTACATCCCATGCAAGTACAGGTTGTAAGACAAGCATGCTTAGCAGGGATTCAAACTCTTAAAGGATCAAGGAATGGCCACGGCCAAGTGCCCTTGGTTTTCACCAGTGGGATCCCTGCACATTAACTCAGATTATGTTTGGACGGAAATTAATTCATTTCTTTTATTCTTGTCCAACGGTGCAAATAGCTCAGCATGACTATGGACCTCAATGCCCACACAGAGCAGGCCAAGTAGAATATCTGTAATGTGTTCTAAGTGGGAAAATATTTAGGTTTGCTTGAATAAGAAACACCATAGCAAAAGTGATGACTGAAGAAAACCTGAACTGGGGAGGAATAAGCTCCAAGCGCTGCTGTGAGTGTACCTCCAGGAATGTCTGATTTATAAGTGCCACAGGGAGAAATTCAGGAGCTCCCTTTGGAGCTGCAGATCCCAAGAGGAAGCCCCAAGATTTCATTTGATTTTCATTTGAAGGCCAAATCTTAATATTTTCCAGTGTCACAGATGGCAAAGTTTTCACTCTATGATGCAGTTCTTGGCAATTAAAACAAATTCAGTCCAAAAAGTAGCAAACCCACAGGGTGCCCTGGCAAATACAAGGATTGGCTGCAATCAAAGGAAAACTCATCTCTGGTTGATAACTGTCATACACGCCTAGGTTAAAGTTTCCCTGCACATGCTTATCAGGTTTATGATATTTACGTGGGGAAAGGAACAATCTAAAATATTTAAGATAAGAATCAAATCCATTATAAGAATAAAATTCTCGTGAAGACAATGGAAGTCTATCAGATTCAAGGCTAAGAAAGTAAAAATTTATCCTTATCTAGCCACATTTTTCCCCAATAAATCTGAACTCGTGTACCATTTCTTGATGGTACCAGTAGATCTGAACATCCCAGCTCCCTGTCTCCACAAGCATGAAAACATGCTACTTGCAGGATGGACATATTACAGCTGCTGGGAACAGCTGGGAGGAACAGACAGCATTGGGTTATGGGACCAGGTACAGTCTGTCTGCATGGGGAAAAACCCATATGAGGGTCTTCTGCCTCAAGGTTACAAAGAATACTAATTTATTTGTAATTTATCTCCTTCATTACAGGAAAAATAATTCCTTGGAATGAAGCAGCTTTTAGGCACCTTTCTGGACCCCTAGTCTGGGCAGTGTCATTTCCCAGTCAGTGTCTGTTTTGTCAATATACCACAAATGATGGGGCTTTGGTCTCAGACAGAGCACAGCCCAGCTCCCTCCCCATCTCATGGCTGGCTGGAGGCACCAGTTCCACTTGGCACCAGTGTCCCTGTACAACATCCCAGGCTCCCAGGGGAACTCGGTGCTGGCTTCACACTTCGGGTTGTATGGTCCAGACCCCAAATCCCTTCAAGTTATGCCCACAGTCTGCTTCAGATCAGGTTCAGCAGCCTCATTGTGCAGAAAGTTAAGAACATACTTACTTGTAAACATATGCACAGTGATACAAAGGTCAAACATCAAGTTGGGCACATTCATTGAGAAGCCAGTAAAAGCACGTGGCTTGTAAATATTCAGCATTATTAGACACAATACTTAACACTTTTTGTCCCGACTTGCTACTATGCCAACATCATATAATCCATGCACCATTATGACTCAACATTTAAGATAGGGAGTCCATAATTTCTTTTGTTGCAGGCATTATAAAGTGTGCAGCGTCCCTGTGACATTTGCAGGATCCCAGCCTTCCTGCTGGAGCTTTGCTCTGGAACTGCATGCATGATGGAGCAGATTTAAAGAAGGATTTATGCAGTACCTCTGTAGCCCAATAAACAGAGGAGCATAAAGGAAATAAACCCCTTAAAAGCAAATGTAAATATTATTATTTAGGCTATACTAATTATGGAATTAAAGAAAGAGACAGCCCGCTCCTAATTGTATGGGTATACATTAAGAACTGCAGTGTTCTCTGGCAGCCCCTTATTAAACTATCAAATGTAAGTACCAATTAAATGAACTTGGGGATATTGCAGCTTGCTGTAGCTATCATAGTCACTAAACTGCAAGGGAAGAACACAGAACCACAGTCCTTACATGTTAAATTAAACTGTTTCTGTTAAATACCTGCAGAGAAGGAGAAGAGCAGTGCTGCTGTCCCATCCCATGCCACCAGCATGGCAGGGCCCAGGCTAGTGCACATCCCGGCAGCACACTCAGGAAGGGACATGTCCCTTGCTCCCAGCCCCACTTCAGGAACACCCAGCACCAGATCAATGGGGATGAGTAACTAAAATGGAATTTTGTCTTCCAGCACAATGTGACAGCTCACACAGAAAAGGAGCATCTGCTACACTGGCAGATGTGCTTTTCCCTACTTGCAGCAGATTCCAAGCCCACAAGGGCCTGAGCTGTGCATCCTGCCTCCATCCCAACAGTGATAGGGCTGGGGACATCCTCCTGCTGCTACAGCAGCCATCAGTGATGCCCCCCACACCTTCACACCCCCATACACACACCCCAAAATGTGCGCAGGAAAAAAAAAGTGGATCAGTGAAAACCTTTGATGGAGAGTACTGGGGAGAGGCATTATTCTGGAATGTCACTGCTATAGTGCAAAAGCCCATTTCTGACAAAAATTCATAGGTGAATGCCATGAGAAAGGTGATTATTCAACCACCCACTGCACCCAACCAACCAAACTGCAACACATCTCTATTCTCACTAATCCATCTGAGAAACAAGCTGGGATCTGTTTCTGCTGGAATCACTATAAATATTTCCCAGAGACACAACCCTGCATTGGTCACTGACGATGAGTCAGCTGCACTCCATTTTGTGAAAATTTTGTTACCCCTTCTTTTTTTTTTTTTTAATTTTTTGCAAATACCTAAAGACTGAATGACTCAAAGACGTTTTCCCCCTCCAGCAAGAGTTGTTCGCAGCAAGGACTGTGTCAAGGCAGAATCGAGGCAGCTGCTGCTGTTGCCCCACAGTGCTCGGTATGCGAGGGGAAAGCAGAGGCACGGGGATTTTTAAACTGACATTATTCCCCACAAGTAAAAAGCTACATTCTGAGAATAATCAGAATAAAATGGAAGAAGAAATCAGTTTGCCTACTTAGCTTGAGACTTGGGGTTTTGGTACATTTCAGAATGAATCTGCCAACCCGCAAGAAGAATCCCGGGGGTGCGGAGGAGCGAGGTGAAAGGGATGTCAGAGCCAAGACGTTGCTAAACCCAGCCAGTTACCAGCCACCTTCGACCTTTGCTTCCCGGAAAGGAGCAGAACGATCCCGCTTGCTGAAGCGCTCATCAGGAGCCGCACGCCCGCCGTGGCCCAGTGACCTTTCTGCTCCCGTCACGGGGCCAGAGGCCGGTTCATTGAGCTCGGCCTCCGCTGGCATCCCGGGATGCGGCGCCGAGACCCCGCCGAGCCCGCTGCCCCGCAATCAGCGATGTCCCGGCCACCCACGCCTCCCAAGCAGGCCCCTGTGTCGCAATGCCCGGCATTACGTAAGGACACAGTTTTATCCCCGTTGCGACGGGCCGCGGGTGGGCAAACCCGCCCTGGGCGCTGCGGGCTCCCACGGGTGACCCGTGACCGAGTCCCGCCGCCCGCATCGCCCCGCACTGCAGCTCGGAGGGAGCGGCCTGGGGGCCTGCCCAGGACAGCCCTACCTGCCCCCTCCCCGGCGGCAGCTGCGCGCTCCACTCCCCCTCGGCCTCCTCCGGCGATGGCTGCCCCTACTCGGTGCCTCCCCGGGCTCTGCGACGGCGGAGGCTGCGTGACGGCGGGCGGGGACCGGCGGGGCGGGGACCGGCGGGGCGGGGACCGGCGGGGCGGGGACCGGCGGGGCGGGGACCGGCGGGGCGGGGTGGGCTGCGGAGCCGCCCCCCGAGCACGGCGCCGGGGTGTCCGCCGGGCGGCCGTGGTGCCCCAGCGGCACCGGCGCAAGGGACCGCGCCGGCCCCCGGGACCGCACCGGCCCCCGGATGAACCAGTGCCAGTCCCGGTACGACCCAGGACACCTGCAGCCGCCTAGGTGTCAGGATCCCCAGCTCTGCGGGAAACGAGAGGAGGTGACTTTTAAATGGTCCTTCCAACCCTA